GGTCCTACATATGTACTCCCCAACCCTAAAACCAATTAAATAAACAACACCCCCCCATATATTATAGTCTAGACCAGAAAGAGGCCGAGATCACCGAGGATTCGGCACTACTTAACTCTATGCGCTGAAAATCTCTATACTGAATTAATATATTTTTGGATACCGCACCACCCTGGACCAACGCTTGGAACTGGAACTGATTCCTTTTATGTACAGTATCCTGTGGCAGTACATCGGTTTGCTTGTTCCGGCGGTTTCATGGGGTTAATCAACGCCCGTTCGATACAACGGATCCAACACCCCCCCCCAGGTGGCAGAAGCGGGCGGTGGTTGGCGACAGGTATAGCAAAAGCTGCCGAGTCCACCTCTGGGCAAGCTGAAGAAACAGCGTGGGACTAATTGGAGACAGCGGTTTCTGCATGGCTTGTAGCGGATACCTCGCCAGGTCTTACCCACAGGGTTGTCGCCCATCACAACTCTTCTTTTTCCTTCCACATTCCGAGCAACTTCTGCGCATTCCAGGCAGGGCCTGCCGCAAGCAAGTCTCCTTTCGACCAACGCTGTTCCCATGTAACGACGGCAACGCATTCGAAGTTTCCTTGGACGTCATTGTTCTCCGCGGTAGCTCCTAAGTATACCGCTGTAGACAGACGCGCTGTATATTCGGGTGACGGAGACTCGACGGGGACAGCCGGTGGCGGGGAACTAACGGGTAAACGGTGATTGGAGGAGACTAAAATAGAGAACCAATTCGTCCCCAAATTTCTGTCTCACAGGCCCGGAAAGATCCAAGAGGATCTCCCCCTCTCCCACACCTCATGGCACAGAGCACGTCGTCTCCGGCGTGCAAAGACGAAGGCAAGACAGGAAGTGAACAAGAAAGAGGGCGACAGACACAAGGGACTCAAGGACCGAGGGACAAAGCAATATGCGGCGGGAACTGGTGGGATTATCGTGACTAGTCTAGTGGTCTCCCACACTTTCATGTACATTTTTTCTAAATGACCGCCCATGGGCAATGGGCGGCCCATGGGTGTCCCATGGGCGGTTTCGCAAAACTAGCAGTACCGTCGTTGGTGGTACAATTGTTGAGAGATTTTGAAACCAGCCTATGAACCGTACTACTACAGCAACATATGTACTGTAAACTGCAAATGTAACATGCAGATATTTTGAAACCGACATTTTGAAACCGACGTTTGTCTCCCAGGCCAGGCGAAAGATTTGTGTGCAGCAGGGTATATGTCAATGCTCACGAAATGCAATATTGGAAGCAACCTACATAGATAGACCAAATCGAAAATAGACAGGGGAGGACCGTGGTGTTCTCATGTAAATGCGTGCCGTGGTCGGTAGATCAAAGACCATAGACATCGCATCACGGCAAGGCCCGGACGGATCGATGTGCGGGTTTTCCCCGGCCCAGGCTACGTTTGAAAAAGACAGAAGCCGGAAATATCCTTGCATTTTCTATGCCAAACCAGACAGACAAATGTCATGGGTTGACTGGGCATATCTGCTAACCAACGTGTCACATAGTCCCCCGGCCATGACGACAAGTACAGGAAGGGTCTTCGATCTTTGCGCGCTCGTACAAGGAGGCGCACACGCAACACATACCGAGTACGTGTCGCTTCGTGTGTAATGCACTTGGGGCAATGCTTGGGGTGGTGTAGAGTTTTCTGCTTAGATACTCCAGGTAGAGACAAAAGGCCAGATGGGGTAGATACAGAGTACGTGTACAGCAGTTCAGGTCTACAATATGTGTGCTCTACAGCACTGTACAGTGCATTCCAACTTCGGTATGTCCACATAAAACCTGCACCTCGTATACATTTATGGGTTGTAGAACGTGTATAGTATATCGTACTTTGAATGCTCATTATCATGGTAGAATTACAGTTGTGCGGAATAGTAAAACCGTTGTTTGATGCTGCAACCCTTTCGGGTCTACGGGCGTCCTGACAGATCATTGATTGATCGTTTCTAAATGCTGGTGTTGTGGCATGCCATGGAGTTGCCGCCCTGTACCCCTCCACGCCAGGTGTTGGCAAGCCATAGGTAGGTGTGCCTTTATTATTCGCATCGACCGCGTACCCGGTGACCAATGAGAGGACGTTAGTGCCAGCGGGAAATATCAAGGTGTCTGGAACGGCCAAAATTACAAAAACGATGCACACTGCTCTAAATGCGAATTCCACAATAAATCTCTCCCCATATCCTTTCACAGAGACACGTCAATAGCTCCACATACATGCCTTCGCCCGAATCTAGGAAGCCACTCAAGCAAAGACAGGAGGACAGCGAAAAGGGGCACTGCAAGCCCAACCAGACCAGAATATTGTGGTTTGCTGCATATCCTCCAAATTTGAAAATATCGTACACTCCCAAGATGCAGCAGTCATCATGTCGGCAGCTGTACTACACAGCAGCAGCAGCATAGCGGAGTCCAACGTACAGTAGTACTGCAGTAACACATACACTATCATCATAGCCCCACACATACCCTCGACCGAACCTAGAGAGCCACTGATGCAATGGTAGGTGTGTGCTGGTGTGCTTGCGTGCATGTGGGAAAATCACAGGAGCTGTAGTGAGCCGGCAGGGCTCACATTGGGGAGGGGACAGAGAAGTATAGACGTACAAGAACCAGCTATGGGTCTACAAGCCCTCTCACTGATCGTTTTCACTGATCATTTGAATATACTGAAAATATAGTAGTTTAGGCGGCTTGACGACTGATCTTATCCAGGTCAATAAGCCTAACCTGCCCTAGCGGCCGCACCGCGACCACGCATCAACTCTCCTCTGACCCTGTCTGTGCCCACCGTCCTGTCGAAGGCAGCCCTTATGGCCTATGGGTGGAGATAGCTGTTGCGTCTACAGAAGTACACTCGTCTCTTTCTGCTGTACTTCTGTCTCTCTCCCCGCAATCTCTCCTCCTTTTTTTTTGGCGCAAAAAAAAACGAGCTACAGCAGTAGAGCCAAAGGAGTAAAGACGATGATTTTCGACGTTGTTGTCTATTACTGTAGTCTTTAGCCTAAAAACGAAGTCCAACAATACAAAACACGCCTTGAACACACTTGGAATAAGCGCACGAAAAAGGGGCAGTACTTCCAGCACGAACTGCGTTTCGTGAGCCCCCTTGTTGCCTCACGTCTGTCAGTCGATGGACAAAGACTACGTTTCTCTGATGCACGTCGTTGAACTAAACACAAATGATCTCACCGTCCTTGACTGGACGCTGTAGCGCATTTCCTGTACTGCCGCACAGACATGGAGCACCGAGTATGGAGTCACGGCCTTCCTAACGCTGGGCACTTGTGACAACACTTTCTGGTGTACTCCAGATTTTTTTGACCAAGATGGAACCGTCGTGACGCATTCCTTTCACTCTACTCACCCCCAACATTCGAGAGAGGAAACCGTTAAGCTTCCCAACCCAGAGCTTGCCAGCCAAACTAAATTCCCCTGAGGACGCTCGCACTATAGAATTCTTATAGCCGCACATTCGTCAAAGAAAAGCGCCCCTGCCGGCTACCAGAACTCGAGATTGCCAGCCAGGGTGCTCTCGTCGCACGCTTCAGAGTGCATCCAACATGGCATGGGTGACATCCAACCATTTCTCTGTACCGATGCTATCGTCCTCCGTGTCCTCCATCATCCCGCTAACCTCATTCCATGCTGGCGACCTCGACAAGGGCCCGGGAGCCAGTGTTACCCGGGCAATCCTGTGTCCTACCAGTTTGGAGTGAAGCCCTGCCTCCGACTGACAGCATGGGGAGTGTGAGCACACTGGAGGAACACTTGTTGTCGATGGTACGCGTGAACCCTTACAACACGCAGTGTCGTTCGCAGTTGCCCAATCGGAGCCGCTGTCGATGATATCGTGAGGAATGTTGCAAGCCGACAGCAGTTCGCATTTTGCATGCCCGTGACCGAGGAGACCCGCCTCGCCTTTTCCGCTGTCCTTGCCCTCCTTTCCATCACCGACGTTGATTCCGTCTGTGGATGGCCCCGAGAAGGCCTTCATGTTCACGCTTGCAGTGAGGCCGTCGCTTGCCCTGTCGAGCGAGCGGTCGAGGGTTGTCTTCATATATCGAGGGAAAGAACACGGCTGAAAACTATGTAAACGCGTCGTCAGGACTGGTCACGTGTGGTCCAACGAACAATAGGAAGCCGCACGTTGAGAACTGCCTAATTAGAGGTCGCCCAACCCTGAAAAACAACACCCCTCTCCCCGAATCAGCGCAAGGCAGACCTTTGTGCGTCTCAATTTCTCAACTAACATACCTGCAATAGATATTGTCACAGAAGGCATCCACGCCATGCCACTCCTCCAATGGGGGTACGGGCGAAGATCCAGCAGGGCGGAACGAATTGTAGGATGCTCGCAAACCTTCGTACATCGTTCGGGCTCTGGGGTCATCAATAGCTGCGAGACACGACAGCACAATATGTGCCTTGTGATAACTTTTGTGGACGCGGGCAAGGGCGGGCAAGGCAACAAAGGTTTTCACAAATGTCGCTTCGTAGCGCATTGCCTCGGTGCACCATGACGGTTGTACTTTTCCATTAACCCGACATCATATTTTATGCGGCGCTTCTCGTAAGCACGTTGTATTGCTGATGCTCAATCTCCACTTCAAATACCGCTCTGATCTTTTCGTAGTAAATCCTCTCGTCTGCTCTTCAAACCAATACCTCCTTTTCCGTAGGTCCAAGGAAACAAACGCGGTCGCAAGCTAGCCCCAAGTCCGGTATAAACGAATAAGCACATTCGACCCAACCTAGAAGCAGCCTGCCTCCGCTCCAAGCAAATTGTGGTTCAGGAAAATAGTTCGAACATACCTAACGAATACCCACAACATCCAAGGAATCAGAGCCCTTGTGCTCACGTGGAACACTGGGTGACTGGGGGGGGCATACTACAAAAAGGCGGAATCCTAAGCGATCATCGTCCACGAAGGCGAGAAAGCGTCAATTGTTGAGTGGTGAATCAGCCGAGCAACCCAACCCCGCTCCCACACGAACTGGAGATGGGAGTATGGCTAAACATGGTGAATGATGTCGAAGTTGTACCACGGAACATGAAAGCGCAGTCCGCCCTGTCATCATGTGATGTATATTCTAACAGGACGGTCGTCGTGTCGTGACACACGTCTTACTGTTAGTATGTAAAAAAACAAATGGTAGCTCGGGTTTACTTTTTGGTACAGCAGTATGGACCAGACATCGACGACCCAAAAACGTTTGCCTACCGCGACGACCATGACTGCATGGGGTACCTCTTGCGACGACGAAGCATTATTCTTGAATGCGTTGCGGACTACCGTGCGCGTGTCGTGCACCTGTCACATGATACTGCCGACCAATAGATGCACGTAGTATAGGTGTCGCCATATTGTGGCGCCGCGCAAGAAGGAGACTCCGGGTGGAGCATCGCACCACTGCTGTACTACAAGGAAAACGGAATGATTGCTCTGACAAGTTTGTTCGTACGCTCGAATCAGAGCGAGCACCTCCTGTCGCTAGCACAGCACCTCGCAACACACGCTCTCTGTTGTGATGATTCGACATTTTCAAACGAGAAACAGATACACAACTGTTCGGAAGCAAGAGAGCTTTGGTGCTGCGCTGCACGCTATCTACCCCTGTCAGCGTCAGCCTACCACAGGCAAACAGATATCGAAGCAAATAGCTCGGAGGTAGGGCGAATGAAAAATATTCCGTCGCGATCGGCGTTTGCAACCGCGTCATCTGAGTGGGACTGGGTGGTCAATGTGGCGTGTGTCCAGGACAGTCGTCACAGGAGCCAGCACGCAGTCAAATGTGGTGTGCCTCTTCCGTATTCTTTGGGCGCAACAGACGAAAGAGCCAACTATGTAGCAAGTTTGCGATGGAGGTCTTCAGTTCGATGGCTCGCGATATTAGAAAGAGATTTGTTTGGCAGCGCAGTTTGGTGGAACTGCACGCGCGACGCGTGAGTACCTGCACGTCTGAACGAACGTACGTTGAGTGAGCAGACAAACAAGGGGCAAACGGTCACGCGCGTGACGTCACACTGCTCTATTCTGAAAAAAGAGTCCCAAAACAACCAGAGAGAGGCAGTCCGGTCTTCGCACGCAAGCAGTTACTAATGATGTTTCGGCTCTTTCGTTTATGTCGATAGACTTTCTACCTTTGGCTACCACCTACAGTATATAGACTAATAGAGTACAACGTTCATCTTCCTTGTTCTTCTTATACTTCACTTCCTCCCAAACCCTCACCGCCATCCGTTTCGTGATGGCCACCTGCCCCATTGGGGGGCTGGAGGCCAATCCTTACCCCTAGTAGACAATATTTGCATGCGCCTCAACTACCAGGGAGATCTCTGTCGGGTTTAACGCTACGTCGGCAAGCATCCCTGACACACCCAAACGCCAAGAGGTTGGGCCGCCACGTGATCCGACGGAATTACTGCTGCCAGTACATGGGTATCGGAGATGGTGTCGAACAATGACAACAGCAGGTCTTGACCAACAATGAGGCCGATGCCACTATTCACTAAAGTGCGAGCCCGAAGCAAGAATGGATCAACAACCAACACAAAACGAAGAGTATTGATTTACGCGCACATTAAGTGAGTAGCGTCATTACCAGCTTTTCCTGTGTTTTGTGGATATGAAACAATCCGTCTACCGAAAAGTGCACTACCCACCAACGGAAAACGGCAAAACTGATAGCGGATATTTTCACGCTGTGGAGTACCCTCGGCCCGGTAGAAGTGTCTCTGCAGTATCGAACGGGATTATGCATGCAGGAAAATGCATTTGAATACTCTTGTGTAACAGCCCCAAACCAAACGCAAGGGGCAGCGGCGTAGCTCATGCCATCTGTGAATTCTACCGGAGGATATCCCGTGAAAATGAAAGAATGCCACGCAATTTCTGCATGTGCCGAGGGCGCACAAGCGACTCACCCCATCGTATCGCGGCACACGCCAGGATATCGCTCATAAACCTCAACGCAGCGGCCAATTCTCTCCAGGGTGGCATGCACGTCGCCCTTTGCTGCCTTTGTGAATGCAAGGTTCCTGGCGATTATGGGTTTTCCGGGAAGAATATCGAGGACGAAACCGTATGACGTGAAACAATCGACAGCTCTGATTCGAGACGAGCAGGCATCTTCGTCGGCCAACAGAACCTTGTAAGCACCATCGGCAGTCGCAAAAAAAGTGGGAAAAATGTGTCCCTAGGTATCGTGCCAGAATCAATCACATCCTCCGAAATATCATCCAACTGAGTCACTATTGAGGCGGAGGCAGGAAGTACAGCACCTGCGGTAGACAAGGAACCGATAGGGTTGATTCGGAATCAACTACGAGTCCAAACCGTCTCCAGCGTACATGTTAATGAGAAGGCTGCCGACACCACCACGAATACCAGGTCTGGTCGTGGAGAAACCGCACCCCATGTTGACATGCGGCCGATCGCGAGTGAGATACACAAAACGGGCGAACGGGAAGATGTGAGCCACTAAAAGGAGGGAAGTCTTCCTGAATGTCCGCGTCAAGCGTTGTCATGGTCTCGATGGCTCTACATATTCACCCACACTGTCACCCTGATATCTGTCGATACGCATCGTCCGACCATGCCACTTGACGATATCGGGAATGCTCATTTGTGTTGCATGATGCCATTCCACTCACCGATCTACCGCTCTTTCAAGAGGCTCGAAATTGGGACAGCCCCCACTTTCCAACACAGCGACCATAGCGGTGGAAATATCCTTCGGCAGAAGAGCGTCATGGAATGGACGGGCTCCTTCCAATCGGCCATCACGCTCGGCCTTGCATGGGCTTTCGCCTGTCGTCGTGCTCCGCTCTTGGGCTATTGCGTGGGAGCGTTGTTCAAACGCTTTCAAAGATTGAGAGACAAATCGATATATCTCACCCTCGGTAACAGCTTCGTTCAACTGGGGTCGAAGGGTGAGCAAAGGGGGTGGGCAGATGTGGTTCAATCAGCAAGAGACGTGGTGGTGGCGGGACGAGATAGCATCAACTTTCAACATACAACGCTACATCTTGAAGGACAATTTCCATGGTGTCAAAGCGCTGCGCGGTGGAGAAACTGGTCCCAACACAACGAACCACCACGCCATCTACGCATCGATTCATGCAATGAGTTCCGGTTCAAAGGATCCATTGCCCGACCACGCTGACAGGAATCGACTCACACACCTGTGGCATCCCTTGCTCTTCAGCGCTAGACGACTTCCTCTGCCGCTGTCCGCCGCAAGGGTCGTCGAATGCTGTAAAGCTAACAACCTCGGCGAAGCCCTGGCCAGGGCACGGGGACATGAAAATATGTGTCAGTGATATCGCTTTTTGCCAAAACATAGAATTAGCAGATGAGAGGAACTTGGAGACATGCAATATCGTTCGTTCCAGTACCGACTTTTGCTTTGCAGGGTGGCTCTTCAACCTTGGCCGTAACAAGAGCTTGTCGTCGTCAGCATTCATCTGACACACGCATAAACGCTGAAGCATTCACAGAGGAGGAACGGCTTTCGTTCTGCGGTTCCTATGGGCACCACAGCCCGGTTCAAACGTCCTTCTCACCACAGGAAGATTATCGGTAGACCCGCGATCGATTGAACTCCGAAACAATGACTCCGACACCGCCTTGTACTCTTGATGCCGTTCCTGTAGGATGGACGAAATTGTCGAGCGGAAGCACCTCAGAAAAAAAAAAGGGTCCTCAACTGGAACTGACCATTTTCATTCCCAGGAATGCTCGAGCAGGCTGTGGAAACGACTCACAAGATACGACTCTAAACGCGCCAGCTGCTGTGATACAGAGATGCCAGAACTGGTCTCATGACGAGTCAACAGCGATGCCAACTCATATCCTCGGCGGGGCCAGGGCAAACGCCTCACCAAGTCTCCCATGAAGCCGTGTAGGTAGGCCAGCATTGCCCATGCCCTGGAGTAGAAAAAAACGACCGAAAGCAGGGAACATCAGGGTAAATACCCATCATAGAATGGAGCACCGCGAGCTCCACTGGAACGTGAGCATCAAGTCGGGCGTTCGAATCTACAGCAGTGACCGGAGGACGAAAGCCATCAGAGAGGCATCCTTGAGAAGGGAAGATCACAAAATGCAAGGCCAGCAGTCATGCTCGCCGAGGTCATCCCTGGTAGACTCACTTCGCGACCTCGGCGTCTGCGGGACCCGACTTGCTCTTAGCCAGCGCTTCGTGGGCTAGTTGAGAGTACTTCGCCACCTGCCATCAAGCCCAAGTGAGGCATAGAGGCCCGTCGCATTAGCACGCCACTATGGCACGCCAAATTAGAAAATCAATCCACCAGTTGGGATTTGAACTTCATGTAGGATTTGCAAAATGGGTTCCGCTGATAGTCAGGTACACGAAACGTGTTGTCAGCAACATAGGGAGAACCCACGCCAATTCATACCGATTCGAAAGGACTGCCCTTCGCAAGCGCCCCCAGAGCAATGGCACACCAGAAAGTGCAAGATCGCGGGTTCATAGGATGCTGATGCCCTTCCGAGGCGTTGATCAAGTCCTCCCCTCGCGCGATCGCGTCGAAAAGCGCTTCTTCGTCGCAGCCTCCCCCAACGGCTGGTCGCTGTAGAGTGGCCGGGGTTGCCATGATTTGCACCATAGCCTCGCGAATGGTACTGGTCAGCACAACAGAAACACCGCGAAAGTGCCACGTGTCGGGCGACGTTGTGGAGTAGCAGGGGCGCCACCAGCACCACATGTCCACCCCAACACAAGGCCATGCCCATCCTGTTTCAATGAACTCGACAAACTGCTCAATTGCGGCGTAGAACGAAATGATCTCTCCCGGCCTACCTTTCACTACTTCTATCTTCCAAGCAACCTGAATGCGATACCTCCGGGTGGTAAGTGGGAGAAACCCAACGCAGCCGAAGAAGTCGCTCAGGAAGGCGCTCTCCTGCATTCCCACGAGCCCAACCGCCGGAGATGCACTCAACCTGAGCCTGGATGTAGCAGCAGGGTGCGGAGGGAGAATGAATACACTGGAGGATGTTGTACATGAAACATGCCTCGGGCTTTACCCTGACCGGGTGCTCTGGTTGGCTAGTTTGGCCAAATAGTCGAAAGGTTAAAATCCTACGAAAGTCACTGGAAATAGACATCTGAGTGCGCGGAATTTCGCCGTTGTTCGCCATCGGTCCAATATGAGAAAATGCAAACACGAGGGGACGCGCGGGTGCGTGCTACCCCAGAGTAGGACACAACACCTCGAATATTTCAAAATTGCCAAACACGCGAGGGCCTTGAGACATATTGTGAGAGCAAGCGCTGCACGTATGTACGCATCGGTTGTTGGTCATCATGTTCACTTGAACCGTCAACAGCAAATGGGACACGCGTAAGTTACTTCACCTCTTTAGTGGCAACCTAGCGGATGACACCAGCGCCTCAGGTGGTGAGGATTGGAGCAGGACCTCTTTACGGTGCGTGCGGTCACGCCTAGATGGCCGAGGCTGATGTTGTTGACCGTGTGGTTGAGGGAGATGCCACCGGCGTTTGCTATACGTGCAATTGCTGCCTGTCCGCACGCAGCGCCTGCAAATGTACAATCCATATTGCGAGGGAAAAGACCAGAAAAAGTAGTGGCAAACTCGCGCTGTTGATCTGAGCGATGAATACTGGTAGGAACAAAAACATGTTCTCCTACGTCGCCTCGTCCCAAACTAGCAATACCCTCACGTCCCATGGAGGACAAACAGTGACGGATCATATACAAATGGTACGATGCGTCAAATACTGCAGACGCGTTGCCTGTGGCTCGAACGGTCGTACGAACCTCCTACATATTGGACGATAGGTTTACCTTGATCTGCTACCGCAGCACGCAAAGAAAGAAAAATTGTTGAAGAGGAGACGAAATCAAAGCACAGTGTAGAACTCCATCCCGCAAAGAGAAAACCCCTCAAGTTCTGAAATGGATGGGAGATTCTGCTAACAAGAACTTTTGAACTGCAGGTTCACTTGTCAGGCTCAGCAGCAAGAATTTTAGGTCGTACACAACCAGCGCTTCGAGAACAACTGTAGTTGTTCGTTTCAAAAGAGTCGTGATGTTACCAGGCTTGAGAAGCTGCTGTTGGATTGAGATTCACAAGTGCACGACCAAAACTGTTCTGTGCTGCGTGCACCACGCTTTGAACATATCCGTTTGTCATTCCTGGGGGTTGAGACGAAGGCATAGGGCGTGTTGACTTCGTGAAGCCAGATCGAGATGCAGGACCTGAGCACCGTTACAGTATTCATACCACCTGGCGACGCGCTACACATCCGGGTCACATACTTAACGAAGCTCCTCACCCTACGAAAAAAGACAACCCGTTTTGGACAGCCCGTCCTGTCTTTTTTCAGGACGTTTTGGACAGGGTTGGGCTGTAAAAAAATCTTGTCTTTTTTTTCAAACCACATGAAGCTTACCTATAAACTTGAATCTTTCGACAGTTGATCCCCGCAAACTCTAACGGTGTTCACACGAACTTTGTCATGTGACTGGTGAAGAGTCGGTAGCATTAGCGGTAGCCGTTGTCTATTTCCTTCGGCTGCACCAGGTGGACAAACCGATGTGTAGGGCACAAAAGAGCCGCAAACGAACCGAGAGAGCCTGGACGCAGCAACGGTGGGAGTTTTTTTGTGCTGTCAGCTTTTGCGAACCTAACTTCTGGGCGACCGATTGCCTCCTGGTCTGTATCAACCACGACACAAGACGGACCATAAGCACAGCTCATGGCGGATACCTTTGTCATCGTTGTTGCTGCACTCTGTGCGGAGATATCACCGAAAAACCAACGCGGTGCAAGGTGTGTGCATGTGTGACGAACGGCCGTTATCTGGTCTCTTTTTTTCGGTCGATGACTAGCACCGTAAGCAGGGGGGCGGCCATCTTTTTTGTAGATCCCTTTTTGGGTCGTCCCCTTGCGGGGAAAAAATATCCCCAAAAATAAACCGTTGTAATGAGATTTGACCCCTTCGTTCAGAATCAATCACCTTGTGCTGTGTGGAACTCTCTTGTCCGACCACAGATGCAGGTTGATATTGCTTTCCGTTGTTCTCATTCTCTTGATTAACCCTTTCCTAGCCAACTCAGAAGATCCCACGCACGCATGCTCACCGGATCGTCTGCACGCACACTGAACAGAAGGGCACAAAGTCCTAATCTAGCATGACGTCACGTCCTACAAAAGTATCTGACGGCGCCACATAACCATGGTCAACCACAATCACATGTCTACGATCACATGTCTACCTCCACATACTATAACACCGTAACAAATGGCCTATATGTACAACACTGTGAGATATTACAGCAGTCGGTGATGGCACCGCCCGGGATTTTTTAGTCAGCAGTTTGACCGGTGAGAAAAAACGTATACATGGTTGGGGAAAAAACACCATCGCGCGGAGCTCCGGGGACACAGGGGACAAAGGCGAAGAGCCTTTTCTAACTCTCCATACTGTGGTACCCAGTTACATACGAAGTAGATAGTTACAGGTAAGAGTCCAGAAAAAATCGTGTCCCCTCATTGGGACAGGCTGCACAGCACTCCTGAGGGCCGAACCCTTACATGGCTTCAACCTGGAAAGTGTCCCCAAATGCACTGGGGACATTTTTTACCGTAGCCAAAGTCAGTTTTAAATTGCGTAGGCTATTGTTCATGTTCAGTACTTAAAGGGGGCCCGAGGGTTGGGTTTTGTGCGCAGCAAGTCAGAGGCATAGGCGAGGCACACAGATACCACACAACTGTACATTACGCAGCGTACCACCTCACACAAGCATGCGCCACCAAGGTTTCCCACGCACGTTGCACGCAGCTGAGTACAGCAGCAACGACCATGATGCGGTAAACAGACATTTGAGTGCTGTGTCCCAGTGTCCCCGTTTGGGCTTCCAGTACTGGCTTTACTCGGACAGAGCTATTTCCCCGTCTTCGACGGGAGTCTGGCCGCCCGCCCCGTTGGTTGGCGGGGAGCAATCATTCTCCCTACTGTATTATTGCTTGTACCGGACTCATCACCAATGGAGTTCTTACCCACAAGGTCGTCGACCATCACAGCTCTTCTTTTTCCGTCCACATTCCGAGCAACTTCTGCGCATTCCAGGCAGGGTCGGCGGCAAGCACGTCTCCTTTCTGCCATCGCTGTTCCCAAAGTACAGCGTCATCGCAATCGAAGTATCAACGGATGGCGCTACATGCACCGCTGTACAGAGCACTGCACCTGCAAAAATGGCGGGGACAGGCAAGTGACAGAGACTCACGCAAGGGGGCTCGAAGCGCAACAGCAGCATGGCGGGGAACTGGCGGGGTTATGGTGATTGGTGAGAAATATGTAAGGAGAACCAGACCGCTCCTACCATTGGCTGAAACCCAGCGTGTTTCTCACAGTCTCGGAAAGATCTATGAGGATGTCGACTACATTTCTCATGCCCCCTGTCGGCTCTGCGCGAATAAAAGAGGCATGCACAACAGGAAGAGATCACGAAAGACACGAGGGACTCGAGGATCGAGGACCCAGGTACACAGCAGTGTGCAGGGAACTGATGGGACTACATGTACAGCAGAGCGATTGCGGGACAAATGTATACCGTATATGACACAAGATAACACACCCCCTGGACCGATTTTCAAAGCTCGATTACTCCACGACGAAGAGGATGCATAAACGAAACAATACATTTTCGAAAACCTCTCGACGAGACGGTTCCAACGCCGCCGTTTTCGGCGCTGTGACTCTTCCTGCTGTTGAGAAATCGAGCTTTGAAAATCGGCCCAGGGGGTGTGTTATCTTGTGTCATATACGGTACATGTATGCTACGTATGTACGGAGACGAAACAGGGGCCGTACCTCTGTATGTGTGTGACTGTAGTGTACATGTGTCGCTACAATGCCAAGGACGACCGCGTTCTCTTTATAAGGGGTGCGCTGGTATGGCCCCGCACTTTTTGCAAGGAATGTTGGAAAAGCGCACCACGGGCCGAAGGCCCGGGTGCGGTAAAAAAAAATTCGGCATTACCTGTCAGAGTGTTCTAGTGGCACAGTAGATTCCTCGTTACTACTCGTTCGTAGTGTTGAACATAGACCTCCGTTGTCGACCTCCCTTCGGATGGACCCTACCTGTCAGGCAGGACGTGGGGGGTCCCGCCACATACAGCTGCCCTCTCAGACAAGGGAGGGGACGACATAGACTCGAGGCTCGAGGGGGGACATCCACCAATGTGGCGGGAACTGGCTGGATTTATGGGGATGGGTGAGAGAAGTGTGGAAGAGAACCGAAACCCGCTCTCAAAGTACGACTACAAATATGTATGCGCGGCTGTACTGACGCACTGACGACTGACACACTGACGGCTCTATGTGCTGAAGGCCTATTTCTATGGTATAAGAGCGCTGCGCGGTGGATAAACTGGTCCGAACACAACTTGTCCCTCTGTGAGATGTTCAAAACAGCTGTGTGCATTTCGTTCGTGTAATAACTTAGGTCATCATCGGAATGATAGCCAACGACGTTTCTGAATGTCCAATGATCCCCAGTTTGAACAACCAAGCTGCCGTCATCCGCCCAGACATGCAACTTCGAAATGTTTCATCAGGTTCTGGTCACCCCTCCTCGTCACCATTTGTTCTGCTCTCTGTTCTCGTCTCGTCTCGCTTCCTCCGGTCTCGCCTCACCTAACCGTTCCGCTCGTGCGTGTGAAGCGCATCAGGTGCACGACCGTGTCCTCGCGCTTCCAGCGCGGAGGTCGCGCGGGCCCGGAGCGAGTGTCACGGCCATAGACCCCTCGCCCTCGTGCAAGACGCCGACAAGCGTCAGCGGAGACGGAAAGTGCAGCGAAGGCGACAGCGGCGGTTTTGGTGGCAGCGCGCGAGCCAGGAGCACCGCGGCCACCGCCGGTGACAGCGGACCGGCACCGGCGTTGAAATCGGCAGCGGCAGCGGCGGCGGCAACACCTCCAGGAGAATGTTGCGGCCGTAAACGGGCACGGAGAGGGTGAAAGAAGGGGCTGAAGGCGGCGGTGCTGCTTCCGGCGCTCCTGGCGCTGCTGAAGAGGAGGGGTGCGGAGACGACGCACTCGAGGACCCCCTGCGGCTGATGTGTCTGCTCTCCGGTCAGGCCTCGATGGTGCGTCGGCGGGCCGGCCTTGACGGTGCCCGCCTTCCAGATGCCGATGCTGGTGGGGAGGTCAGCGGGGGGTGCGCTGGCACCGATGCCGATCGTGATGGCCCTCGGAGGGGTGACGGTGAAGTCGGGGACAGCGGGGACGGCGGCGGTGGTCATGGGGGTGGTGGTGGTGGTGGTGGTGGTGGTGGTGTGGCTGGCGGTTGTATACGTGGGGGGTCGACAATCGGGCGAGATGGCGAAGAACGAATAACGTTGGCCTTGAGAGTCAGCGACAGCCGCGGTGCTGGCTTCGGCGAAGGTGGTAGCGCCCACGAGGATCGGTACCCCCACTTGCTGGCCTGCTTGTCGCCGGACGCCGTCCGGCTGGTGAAGGGGCGCATATTATTTCGCGCGGGTGGCGTACGCTCGGCTGTACGGGCTGCGCGGGGGGGCGGCGGCGGCGGGGACTGCAACTGGTGAGATTGGCGCTGATGCCGCGTCGATGGTGGACGAGGGGATTGCTGCAGCGTGGTGGGAGGGAGGCCAGCAGGAAGAACTCGACAAGTCGTCAGGAACAGGGGCGGGAGATAACGGAGTAGATATGCCAGGAGATAGACAAGCAGGGCACATCAAAGGGGGAGATGAGGAGGAGGAGGAAGAAGAGGAAGAGGAAGAGGAAGAGGGGGGCGTAGGACTACAGAAGGCGCGGAAACGAGCTCGCCCGCCGCCGCCCGTTTCCGGTGGAGCTGAGCCGGAGAACACGTCGGACGGTCATGCCGACAGGGGTGGCCATGGACGCGGCAAGGATGGGGAGGAACTGGAGAGGAGCCACGGGAGAACGGGAAAACGACAGCGAACGACTACGGGTAAGGCAGCCGCAGCAACCGTGCCGCCTGACGAGGTGCCCCCGAAGGCGGATGTGGACGTGAAAGGCGATGGCGACTCTTCTAGAGGCGGCGGCAGCGGCGGTAGCGTCATTAGACCCTTTGGCGGTGCCACCTCTGGCAGCGATCACGGCAGGGTTGACACGGAGCTGGATGGGACCGGCAACCTGTTGCCTGACACATGCGAAGCCACGGTGGAGCCCGTCCGGCGTCCTGGCGGAACGGGTGCGGGAGTTCGTGCGATCGCCGGCGTTTATGTCATGGGTGAACGAGCTGAGGCGCGCGGACGCCGGCGCCGCCAAGTCGTACGCCTCTTCCTTTATCGACGGTGCTTGTTGCAGCTCGGACGAGTGGGTGGACGGAGTGCGTGCGGGGGGGAGGGACCACCCCGTCGTGGGCGGTATCGGCGATGGTGGTGGCGCGGGGAGAAAGGGGGACGGCGGCCGCGGCGGCGGTCGTGAGAGGGACCCGTTCGTTTTTTTCGCTCGCTTTAAGGATGAGGTGAGAGTGCCTTCTAGTGCCAAAATCCGGTTTGGGGTTGGATGGGCGTTAGACGACCGGGAGGGGCTACAGGAAGCCCAGTGTGTCGTTGCAGCGTTCTACGCTTTGTTGGATTTGTACATAGGAGCGTAGAGTCCTTTCGTTTTGTGTCCGACTCCGCGCTTTCACACACGACCTTCGCCTTCGTGGCCTCAATCGACCCCACAGCTACCTCAAAACATGATGTTTGTACAGACAAGGGTCTCCTGGTCGGCCTCGCGTGCGTTGAAGACCAGCAAATCGGACGCCGCGCCGGCCGAACCAACGCAAACAAATCGTCGACGACACAGCACACCGGCCCTCGAGCCGTGGTCTCAGTTGTCCGCGCGTTTGATCACCCTTCGATTGGCGGAAACCACAGGCCGAGGGAAACCTCCGGTGGAGCTGCGACTACTGCACGCGCAGGCGGAAGGACTGCGACAGCGCGACCCCGTGCGAACGGTGCCGGCGGCTGAGCTTGACCTGCGGGCGCACCCTTCCGGCTAGGGAGCTTCGTGCCAGGGTGAGTATTTGTGTGGGAGAGAGAGCGTCGGCAGCGTGAGAGAGAGAAACGGAGAGATTGAAAAGAGAGATATATGCAGCTTCAGAGGGAGACTGGGGGGGCCGGGTGCAACGGTATTCACCGTGTTGCGTGTAGTTCATTTCCGACGCTCTCTGCACAGGAAACAACCGAACCGCTTAGCACCTTTGCTAGCTGGAAACATCTGCCATCACGAGAGGGCGTCCAGCCTAATCAACTATCGAGACACGTCGTAGAGTACAATGGCCGACAACACCACAACCCTTCATATCATACCGGGTACCCCCGTGTGTACCCGCGCAGGTGTACCAACCTTTCCCGCCGGTGATGGTCGGGAAAGCCTTCGCCTCGGGGTCAAGGACGCAGTCTCGCGGCTCTTGCTCTCGTGGGACCGCCGCAACCAAGCGAAGAAAGGGCGAAGCTGGCGCAAATAGGACGGCAGCGACCGCCGATCGGTATCTCTCGTAGATGACAACCCCTGCTTGCTTTCTTCGAAGAACGTTTCTCATGTTCCTGGTGTGTTGCGGCCTATTCCTTGCCGTCTCGCGCGTTGGGGTTGGTTTCGTATCCCGCAGTCCGAGAGTCTGGACCCCATGGCGGGGTGCCTTTGTTGGGTGATTCATCGCGGTTCCGGTAGTAATCGACAACGTGCGTGAAACTTTGGGAGGCTTTTTTCCAGGGGTCGAGAGCGGGTAACCGGCATCTTGATGTCTCGGCTGAGGTTTATGAGCTTCTGCCGACGCCTTGTCACACCCGAACCGCAGCGGATTTGGGCCCCTTGACTTCTCGGCCGCCGCCGGCACCCTGCGTATCGATTTGATACCTTCTATGCTCTTTCTTGACCCCAATGCAACGCGTCGTGGAATTCCGCGATTCTTTTGAGTCAGGAGAAGCCTCCTCCTAATTATGTTCCGCACACTAATGGCAGCAACAACATAGAAAAGAAAGCCACGAAACCCAACGAGGCAATGTTGAGGATCGACTTCTTCGCCGTACGTACCCTCATCATGCACCCCCCCCCCTCGCCTCCCTCGCCCACACCCAACTCGTGTTTTGTGGCTCTACCCCCCCACCGCTCACGTTTCCTACGTGCCAGCACCAAACTCTTCATGTCTACCCGCAGACGCACCGGAGGCTGACTTCCTGGCGGCGGTCTCGCGCCTCCTTCGCCGGGCCCCGGCACGGGCACCGCGTCCGGTGGGCCCGTGGCGATGCTGGCCGAGGCCGGACGCCCTGCAGCACTCGCTCACACTCGACGCGAATATGCACCACCTGCATCGGGCCTGGCACGGCAAGAAGTAGAAGGAAGAGGAACAATTCAAATGGCGTGGGAGGGCGGCGCGGAAGCCCGTCCGCTCTAGCCGCGGCGGCGAAGGTGTCGGGCCGCTAGCACGTGCGTCAGAGGGTCTCGTCTGAGGATCTCGAGGACATGCAGGACGAGACGGAGGAGGAGGGCAAGGAAGATGGTGCGGGCAGCGGTGCGGGTTCCGGCGGCGGTGCCGTTGCAGGTGTCTCCAATGGGAAGGGTGTGGGGAAGGGCGGCAGCAGCACCTGGGGAAAGGACGAGAGGGTGGTGGGGATGAAGGAGTGGAGGGTGCCCCCGACTTGCTACATCTGCCACCCCCCTCTCGCGTCCGTGTGCGAATGGGGTTGGATTTTGTTGTTGTTGTTTTTGTTGTTGTTGTTGTTGTTGCCGTTGTTGCTTTCCTTGGACAGTGGGTTGGCGTTGTTTGATGCTGGCGTGTTCAAACTGTTGTTGCTTGCCGGCTCATGCATCGCCGCTCGCGGCCATGCTCGTCTGTAGTGTCACTGCCTTGCTATTATTTTCTGAGTCGTTTTCTTTTTCGTTTCGTGTCACTTGGGCCCGCAATTAAGCAGGCAATTCTGGGAGCAGCCCATGGCCGTGGTGGCGGGGTGGCCCTTCCAGATCCCGCTCGGCATGCTCGAGTACGACCACGCCAGGATCGCCTCGGACGAGGTCACCCCGAAGAGGGACACCATCGCCGAGCACCACCGCGACAGGCGGGGCAACTTCGCCGTGAGTTTTTCCGCCTCCCGTACAGTATGTATGTACCATTTCAGCACCTGGTCGTCGTGTTCTTTTGTTGTGCGCCCGGTCTTGTGTCTGCTCAACTCAGTCAAGCCCAGGCTGCATGCCTCAACGTTTGTGAATTTTCACTTAGCAGGCCTCTTTTATGTGCTTGGTTGGAGCCTCGCGCGCTTGTTCCCTCTTCCCTACAGAACGGCGTACCCCCTCCCGTGTACCACCAACGTGGCAAGCTGAGGCTGTTTCAAGATCACCCTTGCCGCCGTTTGGAATGCTTCATTCATTCTTCGCTCTCTTTGACCTTACCATGGAACCCCTTTTGTGTTTCCGCCGCCGCACCACCGCCGCACCACCACTGCCGCCGAAGGCTTTCCTCTCAGTTCCGCCTGGAGAGCACGCGGTCTCCATGCAGAACCGCGGGCTTCTGCGCTACCCACTCTGGGTGTAACCTCTACCTCTACCGCCACCGCCGCCGCCACCCGCGACGGCATCCAGCCCTGCCGCACGGGGAGGATACGAAGGCGACGAGACGCAGGCATCCCCGTCTTCCCTCCGCCCCTCGGCGTCGGCGGCAGGAGGTCCCGAGACGTCGGTGGCCGCGGACGACGGAACGCGCGCCGGCGGTGACGGCGGCAGTGGCCCGGAAGACACGGCGGCGGCGGTGAGGGAGGATGCTATCGCTGGCGCCGCCGAATTCGAGGACAACGTCGAGTCCGACCTGGAGGACACGCATGAGTCGACCGCGGGCGAAGACCCATCAGCGTTGGCAGAGTCAGAGGTTGTCGTGGCAGTGGCAATGACTGCAGTGGCGGCAGCGGCGGCAGAGGCGGCAGCGGCGGCAACGGAAACACGACCGGCGGCGTCCCCGTCGTCCCCGCGGTTTGAGGAGTGGCCCGGGTTTCTGTGTCCCTCGTCAAGGCGTTTGCGCGCGCCGCTCCGGTGGAGAATCCGAAGGGCCTGCTGCCGCCTTCGCCCGACGTTTTGAGGTTCATCCACCAGGTGATGTGATGGATACGTGATCAGCACGCCGTTAGTTTTTCGTGCTAATGTGTTTCGGGAGGCGAAATGCCAAATGTTTGCCGAGATTCTTTTGTTTACATACGTACGAAGGTAAGTACTCTCTCGGTCCCGTGTGTCGGAGGCGCGCGGATCTGTTCTCTTTTCCAAGACCTGTCTTGTGGATGCGTCAATGCAGACGTGCTGATCCTCTTGGTGTAACTTTGCCGTGCATGGCGATGTCACTCCTGCCAGGTGGCTAGCGCGAAGGCGGAGAGGACACCGGCGCTGTACGGCACGCTGGATGAGCGCACTGCTCGCCGTAGGTACGTCACGACCAATAAGGGAACCCGCGGGGGGCAGGATGCGTTATTCGACATCCTCGTTTTTTTGGTGGCTTGATAGACAAGCGGCTGGCTACGGCAATATCTTCGCTTTATCGCCCCGTTCAGCCGATCAATGTCTTCATTCTTTGTGATGCTGACGGACGAGCCGGTCAGGAATCGAACGACCGCAGAGGCCTGAAGCGGGGAAATGACTCCTCCCATCTCCGTGCATACCGTGCCCCTTGCTGTCGCCCTCTCCTGCCCTGTCCTGGCCTTGTGCCTTTCCCCGCTCAGGGGTGCTGGTGAAATTTTGAAACGTGTTCCCAAACGGCTTGAGTTTGATGTCCGGTCCCCGATCACCCACGTGCATCGATCACGAGGAGCGCGTGTTCGGCTGTGGGGAGTACGATTGTTGATTCTTGCTCGCTATAGGGGCCACACTCACCCGACGAGCGAAACCTAGAACGCTGCTACATCCACCTCACCACCTACCTGTTCTGTACCGTTCTGCGGCCGCCTACAAGTACAGGCTACAAGAACTCCAGTCCTTCCGCTCTCGATAGGGAGCTAACAATCTTGAGGACGATGGAGCAACGCCACAGTTCGGCAGCCGCGCCCGGACCTCCGATACGGCCAGATGCCGATGTTGGTGGCGGCGGCGGCGGCGGCAGCAGCGGGGGATGCGTAATTACCCTGGACTCTTTGAGCGCGCGGGAAGAAGATGTCTTGGGGGGCGTCTTTGGCGCCGGGTCGGCAATCTAAGGGGAGACCTCACGCGGCAGAGAGAAGACCGGCAGGCGCTCGCCCGGCAGCATCAGGGGCGAGAGGAAGGGGAGTAACAGCAAATGGTTGAGCGGCGCGAGGGAGGCGAAAAAAGAAGGGCGAAGGGACAGCAGCAGGAACGGCAGTTGCGTGCCTCAGAAGCAGCCGCAGACGCAGCAACCGCAACAGTTGGAGCACCAGCAGCCTTCGAACCCGCCTGCGTGGGGGGGGAGAACGAGAACGAAATGCTAAGAGCAATAGAGCAAAGGACGCGAAACCGAGACGGTGTCTGTTGTTGCGCTTCTTATGCGGCGGGCGGCGGGATGCTTCGTCTTGTCGATTTGGTATTGTTGGAGGAAGAGGGAGGCCGTTTAGCCGCGGATTGAAGATCCACACCAACCCTATTCACACCAAGACAGCGGTGGAAGGCGGCGTGTATTGCGAGAAAGGGTATTTGGAACAGCCTGGAGTAGTGCGCAAGTTTCATACAGCAGCGACTTAATGCCGCCATAGAGGGTAGGGCCAGGGAGTTATGGGCTTTCGAGGTACAGTAGTATGGGCCAGGTTCACACGCCGGAACCTCATTGACGATGACTGTCTATCATCCTGCAAGCATGGCCACTGAATGCTTGATGGGCATAGTCTAAGCTTGAAACTAACTTTCAACCAACTTTCGACGAGCAGAGGATGTCGGAGAGACGTCCAGTATGGGCCCGCAAAAAATCTGTCAAGAAAAATAAACTCAAATGCTTACGAAAAATATGAATAAAGGACAGCTCAATCTCGGCCAGAACATAAGAAACGTCCCACCCAATGAGAAACATGGCGGTGGTGCGATACCCCCAAGACATATGAACCAAGGGGTAGCTGAAGGAGAGTCCCCAATCAGAAGCGTCCCACTGCTGCTCCTTCCGTGTTCCTACCCCCCTACCTAGCTGAACAGTGCGTTTGTTTGGTACTGTTGCTTCCTTGGGTGGTAGAGGGGTACAGGTGGTACTGCCGTTGGGGAGAGGTATGTAGTGCTTATTTCGACACACCAATGGCCACACCGAGGTACCATATGTAATGTGTCGTTGTATTCTTTAGCCAAACAAGAAAATATACGAGAAATAAGAGTATTGGGAGGATGCGACGTTCCAAAGGAATGAGAAATGCTTTTTAAGAAAACGGACGACTTCGGCTGGTCCTTAGACCCAAAACAAGGGATTGAGGCTCGACCCGAGTTTGACGTTGCCGGCCGGCTGTACTGGTACCATGTAGACTAGACTAACCGACCAAAAACACAGCGTGTGACACACACCCTACAAGCTGGTCCGGCCAAGACAGCCGGGACTCGCCAATATGGCCACGCGACGCTGAATTTTTCGAGTTAGAACCTAAATTTTTGACACGTGATTTGGGACGTTCTCCTCAAGACGCCAATTGAAAACCCCCAGCATTTTTTGCTTTTTTTCCCGAGATATGGCCAACTTCCACTTTTCCAGGAATACAAAGACGGGTGTAAGTCGGCAAAAAAAAAAAAAAAAGCTTCGGGTTTTCAATTGGTGTCTTGGTGAGATTGTTCCAAACAACGTCTCAAACTTTCAGGTTCTAACTCGAAAAAATCAGCGTCGCGTGGCCAATTTTCAAAATTGCCTTCGTGAGAGGAAAATGGGCGAAACACGTGTGACGATTCAACGAGCCCGGAGGAAACTTTTGAAGTGGAAGAAAGGCCGATTGTGACAGAGATTGATACCTCGCGCCGTTGACAAGGAGTTCGACGAGAGCGCCTGAGCAACGCAAATTTTTATTGCTCTGGTGATGGAAATCTTCATGGAGGTTTGAGTGCTTCAGGATTCGGCCATGTTGCGAAGGCTTTAGGATCATACCCCCGGCATTCCATCGCCAGCGCCGTTGTACAATACTGTACAGTGCGTCGCACCGTGTGTTGAAAAAAAATTCCAGAGTACAGGCACTTGTACCAAGTAACCATATTCTTAGACACAGAAATACATCACGATTGTTGCATCGTGGAGCACTTGACAACAACAAACAATACGCCGTCAGCACGCAAACGATGACACAAGTAACGCCACAAATACCGACAGAACGAAAACTACTTGAGGAGCTGGTGCTGCCGCTAAGATCAAGACCGGCTGCATTCTTCTCCCGCCGCAACCCCCACCCATGCACGAGGAAGCGCTAATGCCCGGCCACAGAAAGTCTACTGCTTGTCAATGAAGCCAGGTTCCATGTCAATGATGTTGCGGTGCGCTTTGCAGGACTTGCGCATCTGCTCGATGCGGTCCTTGGATTCGGCCCCTACAGCATCCTTCTCGAGCTTGAAGTATGCCCGGCATTAGTCTCGCGTGCGACGTGCGAAGCGGCGAACCCGCGGTAGCGTAAGGATCGTCTCCCTGTTCATGGATGTCAAGATGTTGTTGTGCAGGTTGTTCGGAATCTCATCGTTGAGCTCCCGCCGAAACTTGAGCTTCGACACCCCCCACGAATATTCGATTCCCACGCCTGCAACTTCCGGGTGAAACTTGGGGGACAGCACCAGAATGTGCTCTCGTGCCTCCACAGTGTGAGCAGCCTCTGGTACAATGACTGCGCAGCAACGAAAGTCGTGCAGCAGTCGTTCACGCATGCAGACATCAGTGCACATCGAACAGCAGCAGCAAACTTGGGGACAAAATTGGTTCAGAATCTCTTCAAAACAAGCAGTGGTTTTGTCTTGTAGCACGGTGTAAATTTAATTACAACACACGCATACGAAGCAGCTTCTGAGCCAATGACTGTGGTACTCGTACTTGTACAGCAGTGGTGCATGCTGTGCGGCCGACGTGCACGTACGCGCATGTACTGGCACGCAGTACAAGTACACCCCCAAACAGCAGGAGGCACGGGACAAAATGGGTTCAATTTCTACAAATAAAGCATTCCGCGGTTGTATCACAATTACGAGTAAATATTACGTACGGAGCAGCCCCTTGCACAGCAACTGCGCTGCTTGTACAACATGTACAGCAGCAGCGCACGTCGTGCAGCAGTCATATGCACAGGTAGGCAGCAGTACAAGCACACTTACTTCGGCAGCAACAGACAGGGCTAAAAAACCTTCACAGCACGGACCGTTTTCTTGTGCACGTGAACATCATGGCGGCATTATGGCGGCTGCGCCTGTACTTGTAGAGCAGCAGTGTACATTGTACAGCAGTCTTGCACGAATATAGGCAGCAGTGGGGTGAACACAGCAGTAGCAGCACCTAGTCCTAGATGCAGAGCGCAGCAGAAGCGGTGGTATCATGTTCATGACTTCTTGACCACAGCAGCGGCGGAGCCAGTCCGCGGAACAGCAGCATACCAGACCCACTCGTACAACTCATTGCTCAACTTGCCTGGAGGAAGCTCGACATCGGCCGGCGATGATCCGGAGCTGTTGCTTCGGGGTTCATCGGATTGTGTGCCTGGGTTGATCTTCTTGCCGTTGTTGCCTTGCTCCCAACTCAGTCTCCACCAACTTGTTCATGCTTCAGCCTCCTCGCGCGCGGTGTACCATGCGGACCTCTTCCTCGCAGTTTTTTTCTTCTTGGGGGTGTAGTTCAGCTCCAGTCGCCACCGATCTGCACTCTTGTCATGGTTTATCACAGGGGCAGAAGTACCCTCCCACCGCTGGGTGTTCTGCGCGTCCGTAGCCATACGCAGCGCGCTATCGAGAGAGGTGTGCTGCTGTGATGTGCCTTGATGCGCTCCGAATTGCGTAATTTCGCCGCTTTTTTTTTTTTTATTGTTGATTGTTTTGACGGTTTCAAGCCTCAAAATATGCTTCTATTTGAGAATCCTCCGCTATGAACTGATACAGAGTTCCATCATCAGCGCCAGAGTCTCCCGATCACGGCAATGTCTTTGCTTTGAGATGAATCGCAAATGCGGCAAAGTTATGACCATCTGACACAATGTGGGCTTCTTGGCCGGACCAGCTTGTACATAATAGATGTTGGTTTTGACCGCTTAATGTTCCTAATACTGCTGCTGATGCTGCTGCTGCTGCTGCTGCTGCTGCTGCTGCTGCTGCTGGTATTGTAGTTCCTTGGGCTTTGAACTTGTTGTGATGCGAGCGCATCGCGGGCGAATCATTGTCATTTTTTCGACGGATATCTCCCTCGCTTCTCGCTCGTTAATTAGGTTCTCCAAACGTTCCGTTTCGGAAGCCGATGCAAGTTGTCACGTTTCGGAAGCGGTGTGACCCGTGACCCGTGATCCGTGACAGAACGCTAGACTTCAGGCGCAATAGCTCGACTACACAGCAGTGGAGCAGCAGTCGCATCAAAAGAGCAGCATGGAACCAAAAGAGCCACGTCATGGGAAGGAAATGGAAGAGGAGCTGATGCTTCCGACCCAGATCAGGTACTTGTAGGAGACATGGTTGACTGCTGTAGACATGGGCAATAGCCCAGGATAGCTCGGTTTCCCCTCATGTCCATGTTTGCTGACCTCCACCCTACCCTCTGATGTGTACATAGTCTACAGCAGTTGACAGGCCCAGCTATTCGCACCCTGTTGCTGCTGTGCGCAGAAGAATGAGAGTGTCGATACGTTGCCCACTCATGAGATAGCACATCTTCTTGGTGTATTCGTTTTACAGGGGGGTGGTATTCTACGTATTTTCAATAACCCTTCCGAACAAATTACGCAACAAGGTTTGGGTGGGTTATCCTTCCCACACAAACGTTGTATCACTAGAGGACACCACATGGACAAGGTGTAATGCGTGTTCGCATGCTTGTATCTGCTGCCGAGGCTTACAGAACGGGCGCGCAACGAAGAAAATTTCTGTTAAGGCCGCACTGGGGATCGCAATACTTCCTCTTCAAAAAAACAGGAAACGCCTGGAAACGCCTGCATATCTCGGTTTTCCAAAGTCTAACTACAGTACGAAACTACCATCGTAAATTAACCGTCCGCAGCGGTCGCTTGTGTACAATGTTAGTAGCTGAGGTTGTACCCCTTGCTATACACTACAGACTAGCCGTCCGCGATTTTCCAAACGATCCTTCTATCATCGAGTTAGGTGAGCTACAAGCTACATTTTTGAAGCTGCTGTGCGGTCCAATTTTGAAACGCTTCAAGCACACGGTGAACACGAATCACCGCCTATGTGAGTGTATGGGGCCGCGAACTTCAGCGCAGCTCTTCCCTCACATATCCAGCTGGTCGTCATTGTCGATTTGAATGCCTAGGGTCATGTATATGCATGTCCAGCCTTTAGGCAAAGGTGCTTGAAGCGTTTCAAAATTGGACCGCACAGCAGCTTCAAAAATCTAGCTTGTAGCTCACCGAACTCGATGATACAGTAGAAGGATCGTTTGGA